ATAGGCATTGGTCCCCCCCCCCTCCCCCCCCACTACGTTTTTAGCATTCGACATATGCGCCAACCCTTCTCCGCGTCTCGCACGTTCGCAGCCAGCCCCCCCTGCACATCCTCCAATGGGCTTGGTACCCACCCCCCCCATCATCTTTTTGGCTCACATGTACTCATCAACGTCCCCCAACCCCACCTTCTTGTGCAGGCGGGCCCAGCACCCCGGCCGCTTCCTCGGACGGGCGTGTGGTAGCCTCCGGTCTCGCGAAGAAGAACGCCGGTGCCCAGGGCATCGACCTGTCTGCTCTCTCTGGCACGGGGCCAGGCGGCCGCGTTGTCGCCCGCGACGTGGAGGCTGGAGCCAAGGGCGGGGCTGCGGCGGCGGCGGCTCCTGCGAAGCCTGCGTGGACGCCTGGACCTGGGGTGGTGGCGGCCACTCCCACGTAAGCCGATGGTGGTGATGGTGATGGTGATGGTGGTGATGATCGGATGGGATGGGATGGGATGGCTTTCTGTCCCTCCTCTCGCTCGGGTCGTGGTTACGTTATTGATGCTGCTTTATGCTTCATGCGTTGCTCTGGTAGGTGCTAGTTGTTGATGTCATCGTCGTCGTCTTGACATGAGAAGCCGTTCCGGTTCCGGTTCCGGTTCCGGTTCCGGTTTCAGCAAAGCATGTTCAAGCTTCCGTGCCGGTCCATTACGCGGGCTCCTGCCGTATTCACGGGCCCACGACCCAAAACAAAACGGGTATACCACACCTTGTAGAAATCAAGCTGGTCACGAGTTCCGTTTGGTTTGTATTGCTGTTGTTGTGCGGCATCGCTTTTGGTTGGGCTGCGGTGATGGGTACCTTGGCAAGGCGGTGGCTTATTGTAGTCGGAGCATTCGGACGTGATGGTTCCTATTTCACATTGTCCCCTCTTTTTCAGCGTTTTGTTTTTGGGGGTCATCGATACGATGTTGTCCCTGGCTGCCCTATCGCAACAAGTCAAGGAGCCACGCTCGTCCATGCTTCATTATCTGCCGCGTTTTATGCCCTCCGGTGACCCATTCCACCGTCTTGCTCATCACTGGGAATGGCCAACTCACGGTTCCGACCATCAATATGTTTTTCCGTTCTCTACGAGCGTGCACCTCGTATGATTAGGATTGGTCCAACCAGCAACACAACCCGAGGCCGCCGCCTTCATCCCAACGACCCATAGCAGTCAAGTTTCCATTTCAATCCCCCCCCCCCCCCCCCCCCCCCCCCCCCCCCCCCCCCCCCCCCCCCCCCCCCCCCCCCCCCCCCCCCCCCCCCC